TGGTTAATAGGGAAAATCAAGACGAGTTGATGTATATAAATGAAAACATTTTTTGACCCTCCATAACGAAGATTATGTGAAATTGCTATATAACTTTGATGGCCGATATTACAGAAATGATTCATCGTAATCTGCTGAAATTTGGAAGCGACGTATCTCGACTGAAACTAACGCAAACGCATGTGTAATGAAAAATATCGTTCAAATATACTATTGCAGGACTTATCTTTCAGATGAATGAAATCTCACTCACTAATTTCGGAACACACTGTAAATGTGCGTTCCATTTTCACCTCTAACTAAGTTTATTATGGTTCTCTGAAATATTGTTATCCAAATATTTAATATTATTCTATATCCTACCAACAATGTCAGAAGAAAACGTGTCAGCAAAAAATAATCAGACACAAGTTCATTGGATAAGATTTATACAAAGAAATAGGTGACATAGTGACTTTGTTGTGAATCAAGTTAGTGTTGACGAAAAACCGAATGACTCACACTTTCATCAAAGGCAACGGAAAGGGGTAAGTTTTCAATTTGGCAGTATTAAAATATTTTGACGCCGGCGGAAGTAGAAGTTAGTTTCTCTGGTAACAAAAGAGGAGCAGAAGTCTCGCATTATTCCTTAGGGAGATAATTGTGACATATTTCCCCCCTAGGAAGTTTATAACATCTTTACATTTTCCTCATAGCTCTGCGCTTTCTTTTCGGAACACCATTTGAAGACATCCATTTCGATGCTTGGTATTACTATCAGCAATAACCTTTCTTGGGAAAATCACTTGAGATCAATTGCTAATTGTGCCGTATTTCACTGACATGTCAGCTGCTTATGATCTATAAGGCACAGATCCGACCTGTCCTGGAATACTGTTCCCATATTTGGAGTGCAGCACCCAAACATAACCTGAGACTGTTGGATTCTGACCAAAAAAAGGGCAATTCGTCTAGTGGGTGATGCCTCGCTCACAAACTCATTCACTTCTCTGGAACACCGTAGAAAAGTTGGCGATCTGGCTCTATCAACAATTGTTCCTCCCTTGGCAGTCCCCGCGAGATTAATTCGACGAGTTGAGACTTCGCACCCCCTCGTAGAACATCTCTTTCCAAAAACTCGTTCATCCAACGAACAGCGAGGCTCTGGAACACATTGCCAAGGGACGTGTTCCCCGAGGCATATAACCTCCAGAAATTTAAGAGGAACACCAATTCCTACCTTCTTTCCCTTGGTTCTCACGATGTTCTCTGAACATTACAGGATATCCTTTTTCGTAGGAACAAGAACATATAAAAAAAACCTTCTCTGAAGCGAGTATAAGCTACATCATACAGATTTCTAGATCTCACTGGTTGCAGAAGCAGTATCAATAGTTTCTTGGGAGATACGAATTCCACAAACTATACTACTAATTATGACAAAACACTTTGACCAAATTTTTATTCTTTCCTTATTTTTGTGTTTTCGCCAGCGTAAAAAATAGTACATACATTCCCTCGGTGTTTAGTATCTCTCGGGCTTCGCCCTCGAGCTACAAATCGCACCTTGGAAAAAATCTTGCATTTCTGTCTCTCGATTTATAATGTACTATCATTGAATTTAGGCGATTAGAAATTTTGAAGTGTGATCGTCTTTCGGTGTACCGCAAGGATACATTATTTTAGCGCCAACCTTGTTCTTACTCCGTATCAATGACCTGGCAAATCAATCAAATCAAATAATGTTTTTCATTGCCATAAACATATCCACATAATACCTTGTATAGCAAAATCTAAGCGTTATATATTTATGTGATGCCACACTCACCAATTCTTTGACCTCATTCGAATTCCGTAGAATCTTTCATTTTTCTATAGATATATACTTCCACGGGAAATGTTCCTCAGAAATCTCGGCTATCTTTCCATCACTAGCAATACCAGTCAGCACATCCCTTCGTCAACCTTGAAAAATGTGGAACAACACTCTAACAAAACTCGTTCGTCTATAGAACAGCAAAGCTTTGGAATTTTTTGCCAACGGAAATATCACCGAGAACTTATGACCTCGAAAAGTTCAATAGTATATTGTTCAACTAGCACGGAATGATAGTGATTTCCTACGAGAATGAAGTTTGCAGCATGAGTCGTAGGCGAATGCTGCAATCATTCGAGTAGGAAATTAGCATGCCGTGCAGTTATTCACTATTATTTTTCTACGGCTATGATAAATAACAGCGTTATTTTCGATTTCTTCGTCTTGTAGCCATCTAATTTCCTGTCAAGTAATGCTCATCTATTAGACAGAGCTGTCATTGCTTGAAATTTGACATCCCATGGGCGATGAGCTTTTTTTTTAAATAATAACACAATTTTTTTTTATGTTCTCGTTCCCACGAAAAGGGATATCCTGTCATTGCGTGATATCAGATACGGAAATAAAATTGATGACATACAAAGTACCTCATTGATGTATCGAACACAGTAAAACAAGAGCAATCTTGTGTTATAGCCGTAGAAAAAAATTCCAACATCAATACCTCCTCTCCCTGTTTTTCCTAGGTAAGCACGATGTTCCACGAACATTATGGGAATTCATTTCGTGCCCTCTAAGAGATAAAAAAGGTGATACTGATATCCATGACTGCAACTACTCATATTGTGAGTGAATGAAAGTACAGGGTCACCAGAAACCATGATATTTCGAATTTTGTAAGAAAGGCTCAGTCAGCACATCCTTTCGTCGTTAATCTTGAAATATGTCGAACAACACTCTACCAAAACTCGATCGTCTATAGAACGACGAAGCTTTGGAATTCTTTGTCAATGGAAGTTTTCCCAAGTACTTATATCCTCCAGAATATCTAAAAAATCCAACACATTACAGGAATTTATTTCGTGCGCTCCCAGAGATCAAAAAGGGATCCTTTCCTCCATGACTGAAACTACTCATATTGTGAGTGAATGAATGTATAGGGTGAGCCAAATCAGGCACATTCAAAGGGAAAGTCCTATTCCCGTAAAAAATAGAAAAAAAAAAAACGTGATGTCGGTGCTTGTTGATCAATTCGTGAGTCAAACTCAAAGGTGAAAACCGCGATTCGAAATATATCTTAATTTCAGAGCTACAAGGTGTTTTTCAAAAATGTGGATTTTCGAAAAGTGGCTAGAACTCCTTTTTTGTCAAAAATTCTCAGTTTTCATGAAAACATTTTCGAAGCATTGTGTTTGTCATCAAAATTGATCCTCAGGCACTGAAATCAGTCATCGTATACCTAGTTGCAAAATAGAACTTTTCTTTGAAAAAGAACAAATTATATTCTTGAACTAGATATAGGAAGACCGATTTCAGTGCCTCGAGAACGATTTTCATCACAAACTTTGCAGTTATTTTCATAAGAACAAACAATTTTTCCTAAAAAAATATCTGTAGCCACTTTTCAAAAATGCCCATTTTCGAAACGAATTGAAAACAGATATCGATATTCGGATTTCACCATTGAGTTTTTCATGAGAATCGACCCTCAGGCACTGCATGACATCAGTTTTCTTCCATCTGGTTTGAGAATAAAACTTATCCTTTAAAAGTGTCCAATTTGGCCCACCCTGTACAGGGTCACCAGAAACCATGATATTTCGAATTTTGTAACAAAGGCCCAGTCAGCACATCCTTTCGACCTTGAAATATGAAGAATTTATATCCTCCAAAATATCGAAAAAAATCCAACACCTACCTCCTCTCCCTTTCTTCCCTATAGGTACGCACGATGTTCGTCGAACAGTATAAAAATTTCCATTCGTGCGCTCCAAGAGATGAGAAAATACTGAATTTTATCGACTTTTACTTGATGAAAATGGAAAATGCTACTTTTTGATAACATACAAATTTCCATTCGTGCGCTCCAAGAGATGAGAAAATACTGAATTTTATCGACTTTTACTTGATGAAAATTGATTAGATATAACAGTGAGGAAAAAACTCACCAAAGTAATAATTTTCACAAATTTCCTTTTGCACACGACAATTTTTCGGCTAAACATTAAAAAGGGATGTCACGACGAGTTTACACTATCTTTATGTCGAGAATCAGTCGGGAGAAATCCAATCCAACATTGATATTCCGAATGGGACACCCTGTATTTTAACGCATTTTTAGATTCTCTCTGAAGAGCTGATTTTATCGATATATCACACTTGGGGTCTATAGAAAAGGTAGTTTTTGTGTCGAAACTATTCATTATCGGTCAAAATGGCACACACGTCCTAATCTCAACTTTTGATTCACTATTCACTGATTCAGAACAGATACAGGGTGGTTCAAGATTCATAAATCTGATTACCCTGTATCTATTCTGATTAAATATCAGTAAATAATGAATCAACAATCTATGGTAAAAGTCCATGGTATCTCAAAGTGGAGTGAATAGATTCATAAACAAGACACACAAAGTCATCTCCACAAATTTATTGACTGAGTAATCAGTATCTGTACATGTTTCGGACTATCAATAGTCCATCATCAGCAGCATATTCTAATTGACAATTTTCTACAAAGAAAGGTTTTTTATATAGTTACAAATGTTATGTTTAGGTTATGTACACACATAACAGTTGGCCGGTAATAAATAGTTTCGACACAAAGTCCTAAAGTTGACAAATCTTGATTTTGAACACCCCATATCTCTGTCATCATTTCCGATAGACCCCAAGTGTGATCGATATCGATGAAATCAGCTCTTCATGGAGAATCTAAAAATGCAATAAAATACAGGGTATTCTATTTGAAATAACAAAGTTGTTGCTACTTTTTGATAGAAGCGGCAACACTGCATTGATGAAAATATTCCAAATGAGAAGAGCGTATTCTAAAATATAATCATGCATATTTTCATAAATTTTTCCCGACTGATATAAATATAGTGTAAGCTCTCGTGACATACCCTGTATAATATAATATGTTCATGGGAAAATTCAGTGAACTCTTGAACACCCAGTATAATTGATTGTATTCGGAATTTCAGGCCCTTGAATATGAGAAAGTATAGATATCTTCTAGTGATAATTGTAAAGAAAGTATAATAGCTTCGGTAAGTATTAAAATTGATAATTTTTTTAATGAGTCGCCATTTATTGTATATCAATGGTTAAGATAATATTAATTATACCTGTTTTTCTAATGTATTACTCGTCAATATTCTTTTAGATACGACCACGATACGACATTCTCGAATGTAAAGTTGACATTTTGAAATTTGGTGTATCAGACATTTGACCAGTGAGTATTACAAATCTGGAAATCACAAGGCAATCACCTTCATTATTTGAAATGAAAATCTAAATATATATAACTTGAAAATTGGATGTTCTTTGTTCATGCATATACAGGGTGATCTAAAAGTAGGCGACATCCTTTCAGGAGTGTATTCCTTGCATAAAAATGAGGCAAAGAGTTTTTATTAATAAAATGCTTCTTAAAGGGGCTACTCCCCTTTGAATAGAACACTTCAAAGACGATTTTTCCTGTATAACTTCAAAATCTTTCACAATAAATATTCGAAAATTGGTGTATGATATGAACATTTGATGGATAATAAGACTCTGAATTCAAAATTGCAAAATGCGGGGGGGGGGGGGGGTTAGTGTAAAAACATCCCTTCTTCTTTTGATATTCAGGTTATTGTGATTTCGTTTCAAAATTCTAGAATTTTTCACGTAAAAAAGGTTCACTAAGTTCATTTCGATAGATCGTACCGTTTAGAAGAAAATCGACTTTGAAAACTTTCTGATTTGCGTAAATCACAATAACTTGAATATCAAAAGAAGAAGGGATGTTTTTACACTTACCCATCCCCGCATGTGTGAAAGAAATTTCGAAATTTTGAATTCAGAGTCTTATTTATAATCAAATGTTCATGCCGTACACAAATTTTCGAAAATTTATTGTGAAGGATTTTAAGTTTATAAAGAAAAAATCGTCTTTGAGGTGTCCTATTCAAAAAGGCGTAGCTTCCTTATTATTATCAATAGGGACTTTCTGCCTTATTATCATGCAAGGAATACGCCCTTTTAAGGATGCCGCTCACTTTCGAATCACCCTGTATAGTATATAGAAGTTCCAGTACTTTCTAACTATTTTTTTTAATGTGAAAGTCTGAAAGTATACCTGAACTATTCCTAAAAAATGTCAATTCAAAGTGAAAATCGTTGATACATCACATTGAACATAATTGTATATACAGGGTGTCCCGTGACTTGATGGCCAAAGCTTAAGGGTATATTCGTTGAACAATTTCAAGCCGAAAGTGCCTCTTGAACTTGTGTCTTGAACTTGATAGTTATGAAGTTATGAGCAATCAAATAACAACTTAGCTCACCAGTAGATTTCAAGAGGTCGTCCAGTTCTTTGGCCACCGATGCCACCTGATCACTATTATTTTTGGGTACCCGAGAAAAACTACTGTATTCAAATAAACCATAAACCTGAGATGAGCTGATTCAAAACAGACTTGTGTAGTATTCGAATACCCAGTATTCTGAATCCTATTCTGAATACATTTGGCTGGTATTCGAATACTATTCGAATACATTTGTGTATTTGGTATTCGGTATTCGACTGAATACTTTTTTGGTCAGTACTCGGTATTCTGGATTCTGAATACCGTTTTTAAATCCCAGTATTCAAATACCCACTTTGTATTCGAATCCCGGTATTCGAATCTTGTATTCGAATCCATTATTTCTATGAATATTGCATTATGCTTAAACGGAAAAGTCGCGATATATTATTGGTCGATCATATATTGCGACGGCTCCGGCGCTTTTGAATTCACGATGATTGCCCTTCAATTAAGCAAAAATTTTCATATTACCGTCGTCTAATCCAGTAGAACGATTGTTTCCTTTTGCGGGTGTGGTAAAGGAAATTCTTGATCTTTATGTTTCTTTTTGGTGGGTGTTTTTTTTTCTGTTGAAGTACTAGTTTGTTTTTATGAGATTCCTATGTTTTATTTGAAATTGAATGTATTTTATTTTCAGTTTTATCTATGGTTTTATTTATCATTCGAGATTATTTTCCATTATTATCTTGCTAAACAATTATTTTGTGTTACCTTACTGTTATCCAATTACCAAAGTACTTTATTTTAAGTTTCATTTATAAATTGAATATCGTTTCATTTTGAATAATTCTTCAAATAAAACTAAGAAATAGAAATTATTGAATGTTTCTTATTTAACCTCATTGTGATAGATTTTCTATTTTTTTATATATTATTATAAATTAACTACATACATAAATATAAACGAGCTTTATATATGTGCGCAAATGTTTTTTTTTTTCAGTTTGAATATTCATGAAATATTCATATGTGAATGAATCCTATGAATACAGCGGTATTCGAATCCTTTTTTTTCTCTGTATTCGAATCTTGAGTATTCGAATACAATTTAGAGTACAGTATTCAGGATTCGTATTCGAATACCGGATTTCAGTATTCGACCCAAGTCTGATTCAAAATATCATGACTACAGCTGCATCCATAAGAGACGTCCCAGATACTTTTCAGAGAGCAACGTTTTTAGTTAAAGGCGAATGGATGATGATGATTTTTGAAAATTTGTTGGTCGATTTTTTAGGTGCTAAAATCATCAATAATGCCACGGTTATTTTCAAATGGCTAGAAATTTACCAATAAATACCGCCAGTAAAAACTCACGCCACGATTTCGTAAGTAGGGGCAGACCATAGCACAGTTGCCATGCATGTGTGAAATGTGATTGCGAAATATTAGTTGTTCAATAATTCAAAAATTCTCAATTGAGTATTGGCAATATTCCTAATTAGCAATAAAAATTCAATTGTCTCAAAATGACCCTTTATGATTTGTGGTTCATTGTATGTAATGAATTTGTGTGAATAATAATTATAATAACATTTGAATCGATGAAGGTGACAACACGGCGCACGACTTATGGACGTTGTCTTGTCAGTTCTCAGCATTCAGCACAAAGTTGCCAAGTCTCTACCATTTACATGATATTTTGTTATGGAGAATGAGAAATATTGGAACATGCTGGTTGCCAGGAAGAGTCAAGAATTATTATAGTTCCTTCTTCTTCATCATGGGTTCCTCCTATTATGTTTTATTCAACGGCAGGGCTCTAACATCTTTTCGATAACTTGATTATAATAATTGGTGACTTGACAACCATCATATGCCGGGTTTGGCGCAGTGGAAGAGCGTCCGTCTCACGACCGCAAGTTCGTGGGTTCGATTCCCAGCACGAGCAAGGAACTTCATTCAATAATTTATTTACGAATTGAATATTGTAAAGTTTCGGGGCATCGGCTGGGGATAGTCCTGCACGATTCGCTGTTGCGTTCCAATTAACAGTGCTGCTCCTAAAGTGGCGCATGGAGTTAGTAACAAAGCCTACACATAGCATATAGGAAGAACTGATGATGATTTGGTTGTCAGCATCAGAGGAGAAGTAAGACGATGTATGTAGATAGGCGTGGAAAACTATCAGCTGAGCGTGAGAACGGGCCAGCTGCTTAGTAGACCCCAGTCTCTAACGGGAGTTAACGAGGATAGCTAGCAGGCTTGCCACTGCGCATATGGTAGTGATTACATTACTAGCCTACAAAACACAGCTGAAAAACTCTGAAAAGAGAGCTGATGGGCGGTGCCTGAAAAGGATGTTAGCCAGCTCTCTTAAGCGAACCACATCAGTCATTGAAAACACTTGGGGTTTGCAAAAAGGTCCCATTGGGGACTAGTTGCTGACGTGGAAACGTCCCCCACCAGTACCAGTACCAGTTGTTATGGAGAATGAGAAATATTGAAACATGCTGGTTGCCAGAAAGATTCTAGAATTATCATACTTCATTCTTCTTCATCATGGGTTCCTCCAATTATGTTTTATTCAACGGCAGGGCTCTATCATCTTTTCGATAACTTGATTATAATAATTGGTGACTTGACAATCATCATGCTTCATGAGTGGAAATGGAAGACTGACCAATAACGAAACAGCATAAAAACTGACGTCACCATTTATTCGACGTATCGTGGACGTATCGCCGAATGGCAGAGAAGAAGGTTCGTTTGAAATGACCTCTGAAATTCAACAATGGGCGTGTACACCTTAGTAGAACTTTTTACTCAAAAACCATGTTTATAATGATCCTTTTATACATAAATAATAATTGACGACATAATTCGATCGAAAAATTAACTGGAATGTTTTATTTTTGGACATAAATAATAGTACCTTCTGAAAACGGACCCTCTTATTACGTAGAAACCTCATCTCGCCATAGTTAAAAGAAAATACCAAACGCCCGACGGAGACTTAGGCAACTGATATATTAATTCTTTCAACTGTGATCTCGCGCTAATTCACTCTGTCAGAAATCATGTATCATTCATCTCTGTCTGGAATAGTCTTGTTTTAGTATTAGGGTTTTGACGTAACACCATCGCCTCGTTTTCAGAGGCCCGAAAAATCGGTGATTTCAATAATTTTTTATAAAACGTAGGGAGCTCACAGCAAGAAACAGTTTGCGGTGGTGAGCTAATTTGGGTGAGTTCTATCGAATTATGAAATAATTTTTTTTGTATTTACATGAAACAAGCGTTAGAAGCGTGGAGTTTTTGAATGCAAATAATTCATTATCAGTCTACTCGTCCAAGCAGCAGGGGGAGGGGCATTTTGAACAAAACCATACCTAAATTTTGTAAGTTATCAAAAAATTCTAAATTGATAAAATATTATATACATTACTTTATTCAACAGTCTCATTGGGTCATTACACACTTCTGTTAGATTTAATATTGTTCATTACTCCTAAACTATACCTAAACTATGAGTCACTATCGACTTAAAAATCATCAAGGAATATGCCCTTAAGCTATGGGAATGGAGTCACGAGACACCATGTATATACATGAGCTATTGCAGAAAAAATGATAAATATTAGAGTTTTTGATGTGAGACACAGAGAAAAATTTGAAACTGAAATAATATAACAGAACAAAAGATAATCTTCAGATTGAAATCTTCGGTTCATCCTGTATGTGTGTCCTCAAATTCAAATGGGATTTGTGTTATAAACTCAATATTCTTCGATCGTAAACTGAGATTATTAACAATAATAGGCAATTTGTCATTTTTGTGAAGCAATTGCCGAATGAACTGTAATTATGATGCATTAAAAAAATCGAAATACACTTCTACAGCTATTTATTATACGAGATAAACGGTCCAAACAAT